CAACTATCTAAATAATTCAATGATCATCTATTTTCATTAAAAGTAAAAAATTTTAAATTTAAGTTAAATAATATGCAAATGGATAAAATAAGACATGAAAAATAATTATTTATTATTGTGCAATCAATATCAAAAAATTAAAAAATAATATATATTTATTATTTATTATAATAAATTAAAATTAATTTATAAAATAATATTACTATATATTATAATAATTAATTGTAAAAAATATATAAATTAATAAAATATTAATAAAAATAAATATAATTTATGTCATCTTAATATTTTCTTGGGAGGGAATAACCACAACCGTGTTATCGGTTTTGTTATTATCTTTATTTGAACAGACGGTTAGGATGGCCCTTTGAATGGTCCTTATCATTGGGTTTGTTTGTTATCATCTTGAATTGGTCAGACTGTTTGGATGGAAAGGAGGAAGAGAGCGGCTCCACTGGTAACCCAGGATATTTCCTTTTTTGGCTTGGCTCTGACAGTCAAAATTGCTTGAACTGACGTATTTGCCCTTGGTTTGCGTTTAAGATATGTCCGACATTCAGGGCGGAAAGTTGGGCAATCATGTCTAATAAACAAATATGGTTTTTTTCTCAGTTGTTGAAGGTCTTGATTGGTTTTTGTGTTTAACCAATCGATGAGAAGCATTATAGACGTCCAAATTGAAATTAGAAAAAGTAGACAATTTTTATTATATAAAAAATTTTTTTTTTCTATCTATCATATATTAAAAAAGTAATAAATATATTTTTTTAGAATTAATTTACATAAAAAATAATAAAAATTAACTTAAATTTAATAAATTCTTAATTTTACTGATTCCATTTTACTACTCTAATTTCATCTAACAAAATCAATTTTAGGTAAAATCTGGAGTTTGATAAGGTCCCAATGAATAGCTAAGAATAGGAAAGTTTGCTGAACACTATGTCCAAGTCATAACCTCATCTTAGGAGTTTAGTTCATGTAAAATAGGTCAGCACTTTGTTTAAAAAGATACTAGTAATCTTTCGAACCCAACA